GCTCTCTTCTTTATATTTTAACACTGACCTGCTTAAGATTAGAGGAAGTGGATGTCTTCACGATGCTTCCCAGGTCTTTGGGGTCCATCAGCACAACTTTCCCAGACTACCTCTATTAGAGGTAAACTGATCGTACTTGAAAATATGCCTTTCTTTAAGGACAACCAGCGCACACGCTGGTAAAAAATCTCCCATGGCATAGAAGAGATGATGAATACTTTAGGACAGTCGTTTCTATTTGAATTTTTTTTTCCTTGGGCTCTAATTACCCTTTGCTACCCTCTTGGTAGGTGTCTGTAATATGTAATCACCTATATGAGTGGAGATTTAGAAAAAATGAGGGGAAGGATCAAACCTGTAGGACCTGGCATGACAGAAGTTGCATCAGTTTAGAGTGATGACAAGATTGAGTTTAAAATGGTGAAGCCAGTTGCAGTGCCTTCTTACAAGAGGATTGCAAGTCCACTGAAATTGATGGAAATGTAGAGGTAATGCCAGAAAGACAGATCAATCTACTTGTCTTCTTTTTTTAAATCTTTCTATCTATCTGTCTATCCATCATCTTTCTATCTATTGAGACAAAGACAGAGAGAGACAGACAATCAGAGTTTATTTTCTTTAAGAAATTTAAATTGTTTTGACAAAGGAGCTACAAAAGAAGTTCCCCCCACCTCACTCCCACAAATAGCTGTGGAAAGAGCCCAAATTAACACTGATAACTTGAAGAGCAGGGGATTCCCACAGTAGTCACTCCATGAAAACAGAGACCCAGGTCCCAAACTAGAAATATGATAATCACATTTTCCATCTTTTATCTAATAAAAACAGTGATCTCAAACCAGTGGTTTTATTCAAAACAGAGTGGAAAAAAATTAGTGCATTAGGCCTGTAATTGTTTAGAAAAAAATTATTGCATTAGGCCTGTAATTGTTTAGCTTTGTCTGCCAATAATAAATTGTAATGTCATGTACATGAAGGAAAGGAAACAAATTTTAGAGATTTCACTATTGGAGTCTGGCCATGCATTGGTTTTCACTTAGTAAGCAGAATGCCCATGAGTATATGCATAAATGGAGTAACAAGAATACATTTCTGAGCTGATTGTGACACTTTTAGGCATGTTAAAAAGAAAAAAAATAATAATACAGAACAGTTTTCATCCAGTAGGTAAGAGAAAGTAAGAGAAGTACACAATGTTATTTCTATAAGTTATAAAAACTAAGGGGTATGGATGAAAAATAACTTTAAATCATTGCTAGTTTTTTTGTTTTTGTTTTTGTTTTTTTTTTAAAGGAAAAGGAAAAAAAGGCAACAAAAGGGCAAAATGTTCATTTTTCAAACCCCGTAAGTAGGCCAAGATAATAAGTAGAACTTCCAGACCATAACAACCACACTTTCCTGAACTCTATATTTGTATTAGAATTGCACGTGGTTGACTTCACGCATACCCTAGAAGGATGGTGCCTCGTAAACAGACATGAAGTCAATAGTTCGTAGTGAAGGAGCATGCAGGTGGGTCAAAGGCTGACCTCAAATGGATGGCACCATTGCACACAGCATGGCAATAGCAACTGATTGTCATCTGTGATTTAACAAAGGACCAGGCTTTTCCTAACTCAGTGAAAACACATGCCATTCAAAGGACATAGCTATTTTTGAAGTTTTCCCTAAGTTATCTTTCCTCTGTTGTTTGTTTCCCTTGCTATGCAGAAATTTTTTAGTTTGATATAATCCTATTTGTTTACTTTTTTCTTTAGTTGCTTCTGCCTTTGGGGTCTTACTCATAAAGTCTTTGCCCAGTCTTACTTCTTGGAGTGTTTTGCCTACATTTTATTTTGGTAATTTTATGGTTTGGGATCTTATATTTAAGTCTTTAATCCATTTGAGTAGATTTTGGTATATGGTAAGAAGTACATGCACAGGTTCATTCTTCTGCATATGGATGTCCATATTTTCATTTTGTTAAATTCAGTGATAAATTCTCATTCTTCACTGTACCTGACCCATCAGCAGCATTTGACACAGTTTATTATTCTTTTCTCCTTGTAACACTTTCTTCCCTTGGCTTCTGTAACACCAAAATCTGCTGTCTTAGTGCTT